TCAGTAAATGCAGGTAAAGATAAACCTGAAATTAGTCTATCCATACAGTTGGAATATTTCCCTTGTTTCTTCAAAGGAAAAAAAAAAGAAACTTTGTGTTCAGGATGATGCATTCTCCATGGTGCAGTATCACAAATAATCAAAAGTACAAGAACACACGTGTCACTGGGGAGATCAATGCCAGTGGGAGCTATTGGCTCCTTTGATAGAAAAATCCTTTGGAAGGTAGATAACGATCTTAAGTATTTGTTTTTCATTTTATTCAAATCCATCCTCTAATGGCATTTAAGAAGCTTCCAGATAAACCAGAACTCAAGACAAATTCATCTTGTTTCCTCAGTCTTCCTTTATAGACCAAAAAAACCTTTCAGTAGTTTTAATTCAGATTTATCTCTTTTTCTTCTTATACTCTGATATTGCAAAGTCTGTGAAAGAGCCAAGTCCTGGGAACTTTCCAGTGCATGGAAGATTTTGGTCCATGTGGAGGACATGTAAACCTTTGTAAAGCTCAGCTGAACCGAGCCAGCGCTGTGCTCTGAGACCCAAAGCCTCTGCATGCAGATTTCTGCGCCTTTTCTGCAGGGACTTCCAAGGGAAAAACAAAAGCAAATCGACCTTTAGCTTCATGCGATCGATGTGTTAGTGTGCATCGCCAGTGCTGTCACAGATTCTGGATTGCAAAAGACATGAAGGATTCACAAGTTAAATTTGGTCTTTTAAGATATTTGAGTTAAAGCCTGTTTAATACAATTAAGTAAGAGTATTGTTTTATAAAGGAAATAATAGCAAAGCATTTACCTATTGGCTTCTGGCAGCATATAACATGGTCTTCTGCATGCCTAGGAAAATTTTACTAAGGTTTTAATAAGATCACTTCCTAATCAAATCTGTAAGGTCTTTTGGTGCATGAGGGAGGGTGTTGTTGAAAGTTACTGGTTTTGGAAGGTTGATTTTTTTAGGCTTTCTGACTTTTGTCCTTTGCATTGTGCAATGTAAATTGTGCTTTTTCTTTTAGCAAATTACATATTTAAGAAAGCAGCAGTGCTGAAGTCTTGATTCTGATTAACTCAGACCTTGAGGGAGAGTTTAGATTCTGTAAAAATACATAAATAATTGTAATAAAGGAAATTATAATAACTAAAACACCATCTTCAGTAAAATTAATGTTTCTCCACTAAATTGACAGATTTTTTTAAAAGGAAATTACACTTATTCGGGGTTGTGTTTTTTTTAACAAAACCGCTAATTAGAATTCAAATATCAGACAATAGGATTTCTTGAATGTGGAACACAGGCTTTTAAGAGCAGTATGTAATGTCTAACAGATAAAATCAGGCTTCTGAGGAGCTGTTTGTGCTGCTAGTTTCAAATTGAATTGATCACACTACTCACAAGTTTCTTCTGAGGAATTAGTTTTCCCTCCTTACACTGTGTAGCAGGTTTGATTCAAAATCAAATGCTGCTGCTTCTTACGCTTTTAATTTGGTTTAGTTTTCAATCCATAGAAATCAAAGAACTAATGAGTAGAGTCTTCAGAAGTAGTTTGTTCTCCATTAGCAACGAAGAATTTCATTTTTTGTCCTTGTTCTCTCCATTGACAGGTTGAATAAGGAGGATTAGCATTAGCTGGAGGCATTGTTTTATACATATATTTACACACACACACACACACACAACTTCATATACATAAGGTGTTCATGGAGTAAGTCTCATAGACCACATTAACCATCTATTGATTGAGAGCTGTCAGGATTTTGTTCAGAACACACCAATTTCCTTCAAACCTGCCATCAAGCCAAGTTTTGGTCGCTTTAAACACAGCACTTGTTCAGTAACTCAGGTTGGATCTGTTTTCTGCGTTACAGAGGTTTCCTGGTTCAACTGGTGCCTGCCAGGATCATGTCTGCTCAGCCTGCTCCTCATCCTCTGCTTCCGCGAGTCCTACGACAGACTCTATCTCGACGTTGTCGTCTCCGTGTGATGACACCGGGCTGGTGAGGGGTTGGAAGAGACTGGGAGTCAGCTTTGCATTCTGCACATCTGCCTGGATTTGCACAGCTGAACGACAGAAAAACAAAGAAATTACGAGACTTAATTGTGGCTTTATTAAAGAGAGTGAGAGACAGGCTGTTCTTGCATCCAAGACCACCTTGATTTGTGATAAACGTGGAACTTGAGTGGTAACAGTGATGCTGAAATGCACAAGGAGAATATATCTGATGTACAGGTCCCGGTGTCGGAGCTGAGGCTTGCCATTTAAAGGCTGTTGATGTAGCAGCGAGGTGTATAGTTGTGTGTGTGTGCGTGTGCCTGCATGTGTGCTGACTCAAGGTTGTACACACCAGGGTACCAGTAATCTTCAGTCTTCTATCAGAATAGAAATAGTGAATAATCGTAACAAAAGGAAAAAGAAAATATTTTTTTAAAGATCTCTTATAAATCACTAGTCGTTTATGTAATGAATGCCCATTAAAGAGTTAAGCTAAAACGATTTGGTGCTTGTACACTACATTTACATTCTAATAAAGTGATTTCTGATATAAGACACTGGTACCAGGGGTTTTAGCCATACCAAATATCCCTAACAGTCCTTACAGTGTTGTTAGAGGTATTTGTTACCACCCTGGAGCACATATAAACGATAGCTTTAGCTGCCACTGAAACCCAACTTGCACCCACGGTCTCTTCTGAAATACCACCATGGTTCTGTATTTCCTGAGCACAGAACACCCGTGGTATCTCAGGGGTTTACTGGAGAGACACTCTGGGTAGATGTTGCTGTTTTGACGGCCACCACTGTGTCACCTTTTCATCCCCTGTCTCCAGTGCTGCCTCTTTTACTGTGAAGACCTGTTCGTGCCACTGAATACTGTGGGTGTGGATGTGGAGTCCCACTGGTTCTCTTCTCATGTTCTAAGGTGCGCGTGGTTTTTAGGGTTGATTTATGATTGAGGGTGCCTAAACAATACTGTTTGTTAACCCAAGTCTTTAAAAACACCATTTCCTAAAAAAAAAATCCTTCTAGTCGAGGAGGTGCCCTGATGGCGAAATGACAATGAGTTTGATGGTGAGAAATAACTCATGAGTTTTGGCATAATATGGGAAATATAATGCCAGCTCTTTTTATCAGTACTAATCTGTGGTCGTTCTGGCCCTTACTTGAACATAAATATTAAAGACACTTTGAATAGTTTTTTAACTTGGTTTTAAACCTGCTAATAATTTCTTAATTCTGTTCTTAGGTTTCGGTTCAGTATCATTTACAGTACTTCCATGTGTGTGTTCGGTGCTTTCTGTTAGGGGTGTGGGTTTGTGTGCGCGCGCGCGTGTGCGTATTTATATCTGTGTATACACAAATAAAACTTATATATACCTTTTATATATAAGTTATATAAGGGTACGTGTTTACGTAGGTTTATTTTACCATGTCTCTGGATGGTGGTATGCCGCTGTTTGTAACGACACCAGCCACTGCCGTGAGTGGGAATGCATACATACGCTGTCTGCAACATGAATGTTTTTCAGGGGGTGGATGATTTCCTACTGTAGCAATTTTACCGCAGGGGTGCATGCAGGTGTTGGAGGAGGCTGGTGGCCAGGGTCTTGCATCTGAAGAAGGCTGAAGCAAACACCCTTTGCTCCTGTGCAGGGCCCTTCTCTGCCACCCTGGGGTGACAGCAACACTGTCAGCTCACTGCAGTAAACCCTGAACTGGGCGCTGCCTTTCAGACACAGAGCCGTTCATTCTGTCTGCTCTCCTTCTGCAGAGAATGGGCCACCAATAGCTTCAGCTCAGGAGGGTACCTGCATGGTAGAATAAACCAAGCTGTTCCCTGCTTTTATGTTTTCAGAGCAATGGATGTATTTACTGTAGTAATAGAAAATTGACTTAGCTCATTGCCTATATCAGTTACTAAATTATCTTTTCTGTCTTGAAACAGCTCTATTTCTACAAATAGCCTAACCTACACTGGGATAACTAAATCAATCTCACCAGCGCATTCAGAACCGCTGGCATTATCCTCTTAGCGTTTTTCAGATGAATGGTATTAACTGTCCAGCTTCTTTTTACCATGTTTTAGTGCCTGGAATAGTTCAGTATCCAGTAGCTGCTGCTACCTATTGTCTTCTGAAACCAAGGATCGTTTGCCAAGAGTCTGATTGGAGTTGCATTGTCATGGCAGAACTGCAAGCTGGGATGGCTCTTCGGAGCTCCGCTTCTGCAATTTACTGTAGCTATATTAAGATCAAAATTGCACAGTTCAGGCACTGTCCCGAGTGACAGAGATTTCTAATCCTTTTACTGTCCTGACTGTTTTAAGATGGAGAAGCACTTCAGGCAGTGTTCAGGCTATAACCTGTTCTGCCTCTGTTCCAGAAAGCATCGAACGATTCTAAATATTTGTCAGGGCTGCCAGACACAGGCTCTCCGTACGACTGGGGAGAAGAGTGAACATCTTATTTTAAACCCTGTTGATTGTTGTTCTGAGTCGGTGTGAATTGCTCCCTCCTCTCCTGAACTTTGATGCTCTTGTAGAAGTTTCTGTGTCTATCTTGGGCACTGTAGCGTGTGGTCGTAGTTACAGCCCTCGATGCCTCTGCACCGAAATAGAGACATTATCCAGAGCTGAGCAGCACTGCAGGGCTCTGCTGGAGACCTGTGCTGGGGAAATCTGCCTGAGTAAAAACCAGAGGGTTGCCCCAAATTACTTGAAGTTGTGCAGGGCGCTGCTGCATTCCACACTCACAATGTTTAAGCTTTAGGATTTTATTAGATTAGCAAGTCTGGCTTGGGATAGAGGTGGGGGTTACAAATGTGCTTGCTGAGATCTCTGAAAAAAATTTATCCTCATCTGTGCCCAGCAGCAGCATCCTTCTCTGGAGGAGCAGTCCATTGCATGCCAGTAACCCAGCTGCACCCGTGGGAATGTTTTTTGGATGTGCGTTATCACTAGGTCCAGCCTTGCTTGGATTTACCAATAGTGCAGGATATCTGCACTTCATTGTCAGTTAGAGTTTGAGACCGCAGGGAGAGCCCTGAGCAGTGCTGATACAATTGGCAGAGAGGCAGAACAGACTCAAAACAGTTAATATTTCTCTTATTAATTAGTGGAAGTTCTAAGCCTTTCTATAACTTTTGAGTCAGTAACAACGGAGGTTTTTGTCTAAATGAGGTGTTACCTTGCGCTGCTCCAGAGTAGCTGACACTGGCTGCTGCTTGGCCTGTGGGTTGCCAGCAGAGAAAGGTACCCCAGGAAGTTACAGCGTTTGCTTCTTTCCATGGCCCATAAGTTCACAGCCCTGAAACACATTTTTTCCCAGCACTGCAGAAGCCCTAACATACAAATAATTGCACTAAGATTTATATTGGACATGCTCGGAAGGATGCTCTGTAGTGACCGCTCTCCCTTAATAGTTTTTCACATTAAGTATGGGCTGCTCCTCAGGCTTCTGTGTGGCTCAGTAATATCTCTCAGCTCAGCTTCCAGTGCTGCTGCCTTTTTTTCTTGCAAGCTGTGGAGCTGTGCTGGCTTTTGTGCTGCTAATGAGGAAGCTCAGGGTTGGTGGATGCAGGCTCCACTCCCGCACTGTTTGCTGTCTCTCGACACTGCTGTTACCCCTTAATTTCCTTTTGATTCCTTCCCTTCCCGCATGGCTGCCTGCTCCCCTGAACCAGAGTCTGTGCAGGAGGTGTGCAGAAGAGCTTGGCTGGCCAACCGTCTACTTCATGTCCATAAAAATAGTGATTTATTTTCTTTTCTTTTTTTTTTTTTAAGAAAATTGTGCAAGCTGGAAGAAGGTGCAGACCCAAAGGATTTTACACGGATGTGAGCAGGTAGTCTCTTACAGGCAGGCCATAATTTGCCTGAAACTTAGAAATCTTGCTCCCACACCTCAAGAGGCCAAGCTGATGGGCACCGTGCAAGCTGCATATTCTGGCTCACAGCATCATGAAGTTACTGATGTTGTAATGTACAACACCACAACCATTTGACAGAGCTGAAGTGAACGGGATTGGGATGTCTTTAATTGTGGAAAGGGTTGGGAGACCCCAGGCTGTGTCAGTGTTTGCACTGGTAATCCCGGGGAGCACCAGGGTGATGGACTGAGGAAGGGGTTTCCAAAGGGCATTTTGGCACTAACGTACTGGGCTGAGTTGATAAAATTTGAAGTTTTGTGGTGACAGGGATATTAATGCCTGGCTTATTCTACAGTAAACATAGCAAGTGGCTGTGTAGCCTTACACTGTAATATTAGCAAGCTGAATTGATTGATAAGCGTATATGGCTGTTACTAGAAAGGGAAGTGGTATTTAATTGTGAGGATTGACTGGAATATGAAGGGGAATTAGATGGTTTGCACAGTAGCTATAACTGTGCTATAATGCTGTGACAGCAGCGTTTTAATTTTTCATCTTCATTTCTTCCATTGTGTCATTTGAAAATATTAATAACTGTCTATGACAAAGGCTTTTTATGTTTCATTAGTGTTGGGGGAGTCTTCTTATAGACTAATTCTGGATCGTTATAATTTGGCAAGATAACTGCTGCACTGGTATGAAAGCATACATTATTGTTTGGTATCAGTTTGGTATTTGATGTTGGGGCTGCAGTTTTCAGTGATGCTAAAGCGCCAGGCTTGGGGAGGCAGCAGTGCTCATGGACACGCAAGGCTGACCCTGCCAAAATGAGCAGAAACTCATCTTCCATGGGCCCAGGATGTGGGCTGGGAGGAGGAAGGGAGCATGTGTAGGGAGGAAAACCCTCTTCATGGCTGCTCCCTTCCTTCTGACGGAGATTCAGCCTCAGGCTTGCTGCTCGCATGTGAGAGATCACAGGTATCAGCACAGGCTTCGCTCCCTTTCCTGCAGCCGTTACTGCCACGGGTGGGTTGTGGGTGGCACAGGAACATCTGCCTCGCTTCCCCCAGCAGCATCATTTCACAAGGTAGAGAATTGCCACAAAGCAGGCGGCAGCCCCA